ATACGGACACTAACTCAAATCTCAATATTTATGTACCAACTTATGTGATATATGAGTTGCTATTTTTCTGTTAGTAGGTGTTTAAAATATTGTCATGTCAATTAATGATAAAAAATTACATTTACCAAATCATGACAACTCACTGCCACGTAAATTGGTACATAAAAATTGAAATTTGAGTTAGTATCTCTAGCATTATTCATAATTCCTTAATAAAAAATAATGCTCATTAGTTCTTTTATGTCATATTTGCGATGAATTATCAATCCAAAAATGTCAATAAAGGTGAAATTCGGCCGGGTAGGGTTAGTTTTTTTGGTAAGATTTGGGCCGGCCTGCAAAAATCGAGCTGAGAAAACTGTGGGCCGCAACAGGTTACTTGCTCCCAGAATCATACACCATTTGGTTACCTCGGCTCGGCCGGGTTACTTCGGGTAAAGCAACTCCAAATTTACTGATTCTTTGTTGCTTTTCCACGGGTAAACCAAGATTTGCCATGACAAACAATTTGAAAGAGAGTCCGGCAATTAAAGATTTTGAAAGAAAGTTAAGCAAATAAAAGATTTCACATACATATCTATTGGTAAACATTTTGAAAGAGAGTCCAGCAATTAAAAAGTCCAATAATCCTAATAACTAAGATAAGTAATAAAAAAGTGTAACAAATAGTCCATAGTCCATACAGGCTACAACCAAAAAAGAATTTTAGTCCATACCAAACAGTACAAGTCAAAATAAAAAAAAACAATGAATTCAACACCAAAAGCAACTGAAATTCCTAGAGTTTACTCCAGAACGATAGCATTGGTACCTCCATTTCCAGCTTGCCCATCATGTGTTGGAACAAAAGTCGCCAAACCTTGAAAGGAAAACATTAAAAAAAAAAACAAAGTATGAGGATCAGATTTTGGACAACAAAATAAACAACAAGGAGATGAAATACATAGCTTGAAAACATTACCTGACTCAATATCTTCATATTCATTAACATCTTCCATGTAGTCACTAAGATTGATGTGCTCACGATTACGCATCAAATTTTGTGAACAAATCAATGCCTCCGCCATCTTGGGGCTTAATGAACTCCTAAAGGGATCGAGGATGCATCATCCGGTACTAAAAGCATATTTCGAGGCTACTGTTGAAACATGAATGACAAGAATGTCTCTTGCAACCAGTGAGAGAACCTTGTACTTAGTTGCATTATTCTTCCACCAAACTAAAATAGCAAAGTTTAATAGAGTTAGGTCCTCCATGGGGTTTGTCAAGTATCTGTCCACCTCATTTTTGTACTCATTCACATTCTTCTCTTTCACTTTCTTAACAAAGGAGGTCCACAAACATCATTTTCCTTGTTCATCAATTTTTGCCTCCTTTGTACTTGACGTTGCCGCTGCCCCGCCACTGTAATTAGCCACAAATTCAACATTGTCCCCACTATGAAAGTCAAACAGTCGATACAAAGTATCCTTCACATTCTTTGATAATGTTTAGAAGTGTAAGAATCATACACCGAAGAGAAACAATATGTCAAACAATCCATTTCGTACCTAAGATCAAGTACAACAGCTACAAAGAGAAGACAATTAATATTCTCAACATTCTCCCAATACTTGTCATACTTCTTTTTCATACTCACAGACACGGATGAGATGGTTGAATCTTCTTATTTGCTTAATTCAGAGAGCTGGTTTTGCATCTCACAAAGCTCATGAAAGTAAGAATTTGAAGTGACATTTAAAGTCCCACTAAACTTTAAAGTTATGTCATAAAAAGCCTTCAGGAATTTCACAAACACCTTAGCAATCTCTCAATCATCATCAAGTGGTGGGCCAATCTTCTGTTTTCCCCTCCTCTTCATGAAAATAAGACACAAACTTTTCATCTTCCTCTTCATACCTCTCGAAAGCTTTTTAAAACTTAGTGGCTGCATTTAGCATCATATAGGTGAAGTTCTATCTAGTGGGGACATCTAGGACTAATAGACCTTTGTATTCAATTTTCTCCCGCTCCACACATGACTTGATTTTCAACAACCTAATCGTAGAAGACCTCACATAACTCACGGCGTTACGAATGACAACAATGGAATGACGTAGGTCTTTTAAACCTTCATTGACAATCAAGTTCACTATATGGGCACAACATCTAATATGCATAAATTTCCTACCAAAAGTAACGCCTTTCCACCCCTTAATCTTCATTCTCAAGTAGGTAATCATGGAGTCATTGGAAAAGGCATTATCAACACTCATATTGAAGACTCTCTCAATAGCCCAAGCATGCAAACATGATTCAATGACTTTACAAACACTCTCTCCCTTGTAGCTTGGAATTTGACAAAAGTTTATAATCCTTTTTTGTAAAGTCCACTCACTATCAATGTAGTGTGCAGTTAGACACAAATAACTAATATTTTGCAAAGATGTCCAACAATCAGTTGTTAGACATATCATTTGGCTGCCTTTACTAAATTAATCTCTTAGTTTCTTCCTCTCTGTTAAAAAAAGTTGGTAAATGTCTTTGGCAATGGTAACACGGGAGGGGATAGTGAATTTAGGCTACATCACTTGACAAAAATTCTTAAACTTTTCACCTTCAACAAACTTAAATGAAAGCTAATCTACAATCACCATTTTTGCTAAAGCTTTTCTACAATTCTTCTTGTTAAAGCCTATAGCAACAAGATTACTGCCGGTTTCGGTGCTGGTTTGGAAACTCAAAATTTTTTGTTTTATGTCTTGGATCCTATATGGGTATTTCTTGCATTACTTTTCTATGTGAACCTTCATAGTACTAGTCCAATGTCTCATACTATCACATGCACATTGAGCCCTACAATAGATACGCTTATACCTAGGCTTATTTGGATCCTCACCCTTTATGATTTTGAAATGATCCCAAACAAAAGAATTTTTTTTGTGACCTCTTCATCTTTTTATTGTCTCCATCCTCTTTATCACTAACCAAAATAGGCTTAGGAGTAGAAGTAGGTATGGGAGTGAGCATGGCACTGGGTTCTTTGGTCTGCCCAGCTTCTGTTTTAGCAGGGGACTTAATAGTGCTTTCAGAAATTTGGGTTGTTGTAGAGGAGTTAATGATAAAATTTTCCATCTAGCACAAAAATTAAAAAAAAAAAAGTAACTATATACCATCAAGCCATCAACTAGTTCTCTAACCAAAAATATATATAGCTTAACACACAATATTACCGATTGCAAGAGAAATCAACTAGAAAAAATCTAGAAGAAATAAAAAATCTACATAGCTAAACCGAAAACATCAACTACATAACTAAAAATCTAGAAAATCGCCATAATAATCACCAAATAAAAACTTAATCACCGATTACAATAGAAGATATGCAAACATTAACTTAATAATCACCAAATAAAAATTTAATCACCGATTACAATAGAAGATATACAAACATTAACTTAATAATCACCATAATAATCACCAAAAATCTAGAAAAACCGATTACAATAGAAAATCGCCATAATAATCACCAAATAAAAACTTAATCACCAATTACAATATAAGATATACAAACATTAACTTAATAATCATCAAATAAAAACTTAATCACCGATTACAATAAAATATATACAAACATTAACTTAATAATCACCATAATAATCACCAAAAATCTAGAAAAACCGATTACAATAGAAAATCACCATAAAAATCACAAAAATAAACATAACATTGAACATTATGAGCAACTTCGATCCAATATCAAAAGTAAAACAAAAAAAAAAAAGAAAATGAGAGAGGGAGAGTGTGAGAGTAGAGCCTCTATTTCTAACCTTCTACAGCAAGGGATTCTGTGAGAAGAAGAAGAGGAACGGTGGTGAGAAGGAGCAGAGGCGAGGTGAGGAACGGAGCATAGACGAGGCGAGGAACAGAGCAAAGCAGAGGCGAGGCGAGAAGGAGAGCAGCAAAAGAAGAGGAATGACAATGAGAAGGAGCAGAGGAACGGAGCAGAGGCGAGGCGAGGAACGAAGGAACATAACAGAGCAGAGGCGAGGCGAGGAATGGAGCAGAGCAGAGGCAAGTCAAGAAAGAGAGCAGTGAAAAAAGAAGAATAACGGCGAGAAGGAGCAGAGGAACAAAGCAGAGGCGAGGAACAGAGGAATGGAGCAGACAGAGGTGAGGAATAGAGGAATGGAGCAAAGCAAAGGCGAGGTTTCAAGGAGAGCGGCACCAAAATGAGAGAAGAAGAGAGAGGGGACCTAGGGGTTTTTTTTAAGAACGACATTAATTGTGCATTTTGGCCGGGTGGGTGTATAATCGGGTCTTGGAGGCCTGGCGAGCGCCCTTGTCCGTAAATTACAGGTTAACACTATTTGGAACTAAAAAAAATTGAAGAACTCAAGTATGGTCAGTTCAGGTCGGGTTTGGGGTTAATTCTTACACGGGTCCGTTTAGTTTGCGGATTCGAGTTGAGATGTAATTTTATGTGAGAATTTTTTACTGTAACAAAAAAAATTAGATGTGACTGTTTCTGAAAGTTTTTTATTGTAGCAAAACTCTCTGAAAGCTTTTTATTGTAGCAAAACTCAAATTCTAAATTCAAATCGATAAAATGAACAAGTCTGAAGCCTCGTTCATTTCACTAATTCGAATTTTCAGTTTTAGATTTCTACAGTTAAAAGCTCTCAGAAAATGTCACATCAAAATTTTTTATTACAATAAAAAACTCTAAAAAAATATCACATATCAGTTCAAATTAAAAATTCGAATCCACTAAGTGAACGAGGCCTAAATGTTAATGTTAATATCTCTTTCTCTTTCCATTTTTCTTTTCGTTAAGAAAAGTCAAAATATCATTTTTAGGCAGGTCAGCGTCAACGGCATATGGTCGCGGGTTCTTCTGGAACCATGGCCCGCCGGGGCTCAGCCGCCGACCACCGCTCACCAAAACGCGGACCCCCAAACCCAAACCCAACCAAACCCCCACTCTTTTCTTTTAATTTCTATTTTAATTTTATTTACTACCAAAAACTTATAAATAAATTTGTCTCTGACCATTGTCTGTCCTTATATATATTAGATCAGCCTACTGAGAAACTCCAAAGATCATACACACGCACAGTTTCTTCCTAATAATTGTAATAATAAAATATTTGTAGTTTTTCTCCTGCTTTCACTACTACGGCCATGGCGTCGCCAGAGTTGGACGACGGTGGACGGACATCGGCGATGGCGGATTACGGTGAGATCGTCAACCGCAGTGACACTGAGAACAGTAAGAATATGGTGATGAAGAAGAAGAAGAGTAAAGCAGGCTCCTTTCAAAGGCCTAGGTTCGCGTGTTTCGGCGGGATCAAATCGGAACCGGACGGGAAAGGGAATTTTGATATGGAGGTTGACGAGAAGTTTCGCGACAGGACCCCTAATCACCTTGTCATCATGGTTAATGGCCTTGTTGGCAAGCAAGTCTCTCTCTCTCTCTCTCTCTCTCATTTCTTTGGTGTTGCTGAAGCAATTAGCAAATTTGTTTTTGATTAGTGATTGATCTGGTTGTGTTGAGATGGGAAAGAGGATTGAAAATTTGAGACTTTTTTAATTATTTTTGCAGAGCTCAAAATTGGAAGTTTGCTGCTAAGCAGTTTCTGAAGAAGTATCCTAATGATGTTGTCGTTCACTGTGAGTTCTTTTTCCTTTGTTTTTTACTTCTTTCTTCCCCTCAAAGAAAAATGAATGTACTTGTTGTTTAGTGGATGGGTTGGTGTGATCTACGACTACATGTATGTATAGTTTGTTGTTTTGCATTTATTTTGTTGTGTGTGCTAGTTTGAAAATTTATTGCATTTGAATGTAGTAGATGGTAGAAAAGTAGGTGAGTTTTTGGGGGAGAATCTGTTTATTTATGATTCAATTCTGGGAATAAAATGATAGAATTTCCGCACGTCACTCTCAAACTGCAAAGTTTGATGCTTTTACTCTGTTGTTGATTCTTGTTATGATATGAATCGCGTATGATTAATGTGCAATGCAGGCAGCGAGTGTAATTCTTTGGTGTTGACATTGGATGGTGTTGATGTAATGGGGGACAGATTGGCAGAAGAGGTGCGTGCGTTCATGTTTAGTCATTCTCCAACAAAAGTTTCACTTCCAATGAGGAAATTGCTTGTTTTTTTCCGTATCGCAAACTCACATGTCAACTGTGGATCCCCATGTAATTTATAAGAACCACAAAATTTGACATGGGAATTTTTAAGTGGTTAAAGTGGGATGAGCATTCTTTTCTCACTATATGAAGTGAACTATTTGATTTGTGTTTTTTAAAGTTTGGATTTATCTTCCTTCATGTTCATTATTGATTGACACCATTTCCGTAAAGTTGAAATTTAAATAAAGATAGGAACTTATACAGAGCTGTGTTGTTTCAGGTTATATCTGTTATAAAACGTCACCCTGGTGTCCAGAAAATATCATTTGTTGGTCATTCATTAGGTGGCCTGATAGCGCGGTATGCTATTGCTGTACTTTACGAACGAGATATCACGAGAGAACCAAAACAATCTCAGGAAAATGGAGATTGCAGGACTGATGGCCCTGAAGATCCACGCTCGGAAGAGAGAATTAAAGGCAAGATTGCTGGGCTGGAACCTATGAATTTCATAACCTCCGCAACCCCACATCTTGGTTCGCGGGGGCATAAACAGGTGAGCGGTTTATGCTTTGCGCGCTCATTGTCTGATTTTTTTTTTTATCGTAAAAGAATTATCTTTCAGATGTCAGTTGGCATACTCTTTGCTAGAATCTAACATTAAAAGGATTCAACTCTCTTCTGAGTTGAATGAAGAAATTGAACATATCTCTCTATAGCTCTGTCGGTATTATAGTAGGACATACTATTATCTAATTCCTTAGGAGGGGTCTCCTGATGTCATGGCTATACCTTTTCTCGAGCATTTCTTGTAGTTTATGACCTTTGAGTTTGTGCTAAATATGGGGCATGCTAGTATGTAAATTTTATTCATGGTTATGGCTGTCAGTGAAAGTGGCCAGTGTCTTATGATGATACAGCTATCTATTATCAACAGCTTGCTCTGCCTACGTTTATATCTCTACAACCATGCATCGGTTTGTATATTTCAGGTTCCTATTTTTTGTGGCCTCTACACTCTGGAAAAAGTAGCATTTCGTACATCATCGTTTCTTGGTAAAACTGGAAGACATTTATTTTTAGCTGACAGCGATAATGGGAAGCCTCCACTTCTTCTTCGCATGGCCAGTGACTCTGAAAATCTGAAATTCATGTGAGTCCTTGTGATTGATTATGTTTATGCTTTGCATCGTTTGAGTTGCAACAGTGAGCACGGGTGATTCCCGAACTTGTTATTACAAATCTTTCTTCATCTGCAGCTCAGCATTGGGGTCTTTCAAGCGCCGTGTTGCCTATGCAAATGTGCGATTTGATTGTATCCTCTATATGATGATTTTTTTTCTTCACTATGAATTTCTTTTCGCACCCTGTTATTGTAAGTTTTGTTAGTCCACTCAATTTTATATGGAGAACTTGACTGCCTGCATAGCACTTGTGGGATGGAGTACGTCGTCTCTACGCCATCGGGACGAACTCCCAAAGGTAATCATGTATTTATATACTGAAGCTTTCTTTTCATATTTTAATATTATGTACTCATACGACTGTATATCAGCTCAAAAGGAAGTCAGGAGGTGACAAATATCCACATATTGTTAATGTGGAGACCACAAGAATAGCCAGTCCTCAAGAAGTTGCGAGTGAAGCCAAAGTCGACTGCCACAAGAATATTGGCATGGAAGGTTTGCTCTTCCTTTAACTTAACTGACTAGTATAACAGTGCTGGAGTTACATAAACTGAGTTTTTTTTTTCTTTACTTGTATTGGCCGTTAATGTGAGAAAACCTTTTTCGCCCTTTGCTGTATGATGTGGCCGTTAATATGAGAACATTTTTGTGAAGTCAACGTGAAGTAAAACAAAATCAATGCTTTTGGGTTAAAGTTAATTATAGAAATGGTAATTTGATGTTGAGTAGAGGGAGGTAAATGTTGCGGGGTGGACGAACCAGGAAAATATGTTCACTGCAATACGATTTGTGGATATCTCCAATTTTCACCTGGGAACTTATCTCTCTGCTTTCATTCTCATGATTGCCTATGTACTTTTGAGTTTCAGTAAACAAACATTAGATAATTCAAGCTCCACATTTTTTATTAGTCTCTATACTACAAATTTCAGAGGAAATGTTAAAGGGTTTGACGAAACTGAGTTGGGAAAGAGTTGATGTGAGCTTCAGGGGGAGCGGTCTTTTGAAAGAGTTGATGTGAGCTTCAGGGGGAGTAGACAAAGGCTTCTGGCACACACTACAATTCAGGTAACTCAATGTTGTCTCTTGTAAATCGCGATATCGGCCATACATTTCATCTATAATCATCACTCAAATAAACCAAATGCCTTGGCACTTGCACGGCATACCATTTTCATCTTGCAAATTGCATAAATCTTGCACCCATATGGGGAGACACTTTTTATATTCTCTCTGTTTTTTTTTGCATTTCAGGTTAAAGGTTCTTGGATCAATTCCGATGGGGCTGATGTTATCTGTCACATGGTCGACAACTTTCTTTTATAAACCGACCTCGTTATCTATTGATTCAATTCAGTGGGATCGCCCTTAAAACCACATTCAGCTTTTGAAATACAAGATTAAGAATTCTCGGTGACCCCAATTCGAGTTGGAAGATCAAGATTCAATGGAGTTGAGAAGCCGATACTCATGAAGAATATGTTTTTTCGACCCACATTAAATCTGCGGTCCGCCTATATGTGAGAACTCAATTTGCCACAAGTACTCAGAATTTTGTGTCCTTGGAGACCAAACAATATCCCCTTAAATAGAAGAAGGGTCAGACGGGGGCCTTGGGATGACTATGAAATCAGTTGTAAACTTGTATCATTGTATCATTGTATGTTCTATTTGTACAATAGGATCATAGGGGGAGAGAAATTTGTGAAAAAAAGAAGTTATTTTGTCCTCCCAAAGTTAGCTAGCGGCTACTGTTGCAAATATACAATACCCCATGTAATTTTTATCAAGACAACTTTATTTAGACAAACATGTCTGAACTCATGAACAAATCCAAAAGGTCTCCTCGTGCAGAGCTGTCTTGTCAGACTTCTTATTTTCTTTTTGAGTTAAAATGTTAAATTCATGAAACGATTCTGAACTTTTTTTTTTCCCTCTCATCTCTCTTTGGAATTGAAAATTGTATCACATTTTTGAACTTAAAAAAAAAAAAAAAGATGCGTCAAAGTCTGTCAAATAAATTGATGAAACGTGTTAATATAGGAAGTTATATCAAATTTAGTCCGAGAATTGAGAAACTGTACCAAAGCTAATCCCTATCTAGACATATACAAAACGTTAAATATGAGTAGCTTTAGCTCTGTTCTAAATCCTAAAAGCAGTTTTTCGTTTGAAAAAAATGTCTGATAGTCTTATTTTTTGTTTTATGTTGTTTAAAACAAGGAAACCAAAAATTCTTGTTTGGAGGTAGAGGGGACTTGGGTTTGGGGCTATGATCGGAGGTAGGTCGGGTTAGAAGTTGGGACTGGGGTTGGGACAAGGTCGAGGTTGAGGGATCGGGTCGGGTCAAGTTTGCGATCGGGGTGATCGGGCCTGCCTTGCCTTGTGTATTTTGATAGCCACATACATTGCCTCTTAACTGATTGTGAGATTCTACCATTCCTTTCTTCCTAAGGTTTGCTTCCACCGCATGCCTACAAGCCACTGCCTTTTTGCACGCAATGCAAAGGTTAGGTGGAAACAAAACATAGGAGAAGAGAAAACAATTGTTTCTGTCATTTTGTTAACAAAAAATATATACTTATTTTGTCATGTATATATATATATATATATATGCTTCTAATTTATGAGTTTATGGCTTTCCTTCATCTCCAAACTTGCCTTGCATGAATGTAAGGGGAAAAGAAGGAACTTCCTTTACAATTACATATTTTATTCTTGGTGGAAGAGACAAATGGATGAAAAAGAGAGATTGGAGAATTGGAACTTTTAAGGGACAAAAAATTTAAAACATCACTTAAGATAGTAAAAAGTATTATTTATGCCATTCAACTAAAAAATAAACAAATATCATTCAATTAATGAAGAAAAAAATAAAAGGCTACTATGATACTTAATTATTTAGAATGACATAAATAATAAGCCTTAATAAAACCATGACAAACCATGTACTTTTTCAATTTATTTTTTTAATGTTTGAAGAGGAGAATTTCCGCCGTTGATGCCATAAATACAATAATTCACGTATTCTTCCTTAAAAATTTAGAACTTTGAACATTGGAATTATCTTATGAATTTATGATAACTTGTATTTTAAACGGTGCATATACTTGTGAATTTTAAGAAACTCACAATAAACTTGTGCATCAACATAAAACTTAAAAAACGACTATGTGAAAAGGAGATGATGGAAAAATTGATGGGAACAAAAATGGTGTTCATACCCATAAGATAAAGCCGGTGGTTGGTTCTACTAGGTTAGGTCTTATCTACTAATCATCGAGTGAGATCACTTATGATGAACAGAGTATCAACTCATAAGGATGAATAAAAGTGCTCTAATAAGAAATTTTAGTGACATGTGCAGTTTA